GCCAATGAACGGAACCCCCGACAATAAGTTCGAATTATCCTGTGTAACCTGAAATAACAGAAGTGGGCTAATACTGATGTCTGGAATGTAAGCGTACGTCCCTCTAATTGGACAAATAGTACACCCAGCCAGTGTCTATTTTGTAAATTTGGCTGGACGATTCGCCATATTTTGAAACGAAATAGGAGTTTCTGACCGGATAAATCGCCCATGCAACGAGATACTCAGAGATAGGGGATGATTTGGATCTTAGTTAGTTAGTTAGTTAGTTATTGGAGAGGGTGGGTTTCCCCATGCACTTAGACCTGTATTGGTCCATTGTGCTTCCCTCTATGATTTCTACCAGTCTCTATATCCTACCGGTACTGGTGCTTACCATCAGTCCCGCCCAGCCAGCGAGACCGGCTCTACTAGCTGAGAGGTATCTATAATGCTTCCCCCATCTACCAGAGGTATTAGAGACTGCTGTTGGGCGGGAAACGTCCGTAATTTGGCTCAGTGACCTCCTTTGGAGATATGAGGTTCTTTTACGTGCCGTAAAGCTACGACACGGGACCCACGGCTTAAAGTCCCTCCCGGAGGACTTGTTCCCTGAATTTTTCCGCCCTTAAAAATTCGACGACCTCCGCCGGGTATTTGAACCCGCGTACTACGAGTCATGAGGTGGGAACGTTACCTCTAGACTACGGAGGCCGCTTGATTTGGATCTTACTTAGAGGTCGAAAGAAAATCTTGGTGCCACGGTTTAAACGGACATCGACACATGTAAATAATTAAGCAGTGAGAGGTGTGTGATTTGGACACATCCATCCAGAAGCGACGGCCCATCAGAGCTGTTAGAAGTTAAAATTAACGCTTCTTCACACCGGAAGTGTAGATCGCTTCTGGTGACAACTACTAACGAGTCTCTCTCTCTCTCTCTCTCTCTGTTGACCACGTCGCAAGTATACACTGACAACTGATGTTGAGAGGAACGCTTTGACCCCACATGGCCGCTAAACACGCGATCTCTCTCTGAAGCCTGGCACATCGTAAAAGAACCTGTCCAGGTTCCCTTTCGTATCTCATGATTTGCGAACCCAAAGGGTCGAACTGGGACTGCTCTGATACAGTGGCCACTATAAGGTTCCCTTTCGTATCTCATGATTGGCGAGCCGGAAGGGTCGAACTGGGACTGCTCTGATACAGTGGCCACTAAATCGATGTTCGTAAGTCTTCAAAATGTGGCTAGTTACACGCCAGAATATAGTTCGTAACAATAGGTGCTAGTCTCTGCAACGTGCACTACATGCAGTATTTCTTTCCACAGACGAAACTGGGGGAGAATGTAGTAAAGTGTATTGTCACGTGATGCCTTCGCTTGTCCTCAGCGACCTCCATAAATTCCTTAAATTAATATAGTTTCAGAGCCAAAGTAATATTTTTATGTATGTATATCATTGTTTTTGGCTATATAAGTGCAGAAGCGTTGAAAGTGTTAAATTCACATAAACTTTCGTAAGAGACACGTTTCTATTTTGCTATGATACAAGGCAGGGAATGTAGCATGAATTAGGGAGAAGAGGAATGCATACAGGACATTGGTTGGAAAGCCAGAAGGAAAGAGACCACAAGGCAGATGAAGACATACGTGGGTGGACAATGTTAAAATGGATCTTAGAGAGATGGGATGGGGTGGTATGGACTGTATCGATAGGATAGGGACCCGTGGAGGGCTCCTGTGAACACAGTAATGAACTTTCGAGTTCCACAAAATGCTGGGAAGTTCTTGAGTAGCTGCACAATTGGCGGCTTCTCAAGAAGGGCTCAGGCTCCATGGAGTTAGTAAGTTATAAAAGGCCGCGCCATAGCTCAAGCGGTTAGTCGCTGGCTTCTCACCACGGCGGCCCGGGTTCGATCCCGGGGTCTCGTCAAGTGGGATTTGTGGTGGACAAAGTGACGGTGG